TGCTCCGTAACGGGTACAAAGGGTGTGTTATCTGCTGCTTCGTTGTCCGGCTGTTCTCCTGCCACGTCGATGTCATCCTCGTCATTGGCATAGCTGTGCTGTCCCTGAATGGTGCTTCCCGTGCAGTGCGGTGCTGGCGGTACAGTGGCAGGGTCAGTCTTTCGTAGAAGATGCAGTCACGTGAACGCGTGAGCTGGTGGGTGGCGAAGCCCATAATTGTCCAGGCGTGATATTCGGATTTGATTCCGAGGTGGATGCCCCAGCGGGCACGGTCTTCGAATTTTCCGGTTCGGGCAGTGTGGGGTCGGTACTGTACCATACATCCGAAGACCCGCAGCATGCGGGTGTCGGGGTGTTTTCCGGTCCACTCCTTGAAGGGTGAACTGTTGTTGGGCAGGGCCTTCGAGGAGAGCATGTTGTGCAACCGAACTGCATGCGCCATGGCATAGGGCCAATACTTGGTTGGCACAGCGGACTGCTTCATGAGAGCTCGCATTTTTGTCGCGAGGCTCCTGTTGGTTCGCTCGGCCAATCCCTGCTGCTCGTGAGCGTAGGGGAGCGAGATCATCCTCTTGATGCCCTTCTGCTTGCAGAGGGTTTTGAAGTCCTCTGACATGTACTCCAGAGCTCCGTCTGTTTGGAAGGCTTTCACCTTGTAGCCATCGCTCTGAGTTTCTGCCATGTTGAGCCAGACCTCGAAGCACTGGTAGGCGAGGTAACGGTCGCTGACGTTTACAGCCCAGACGAAGCGTGTGCCCGCATCGATGAAGGTGAGTGTGTACTGCTCCCCGCCGACTCCCTTCGCCGTGAGCACCAAGAAATCGCTGTAAACCTTCTCCAGCGGTTTGTAGCGTTCGGCTCCATGGATCTTTTCGGCGAAGGGGGTGTGACGAAGCGCGGCTGCCGGGCAGACAGAGCAGTTGGGAAGGTCAGTTCTTGGTTTCAGCAAGTTTTCCGTCTGGCAGCAACAGTGCGTCTTCCGCAAAGACTTTTGCGTTGATGCAGTTGTTGAGCACCTCGATTGATGGGTGACCCATGCGTTGATGCCAGATGTCGCCGTCGGCCCGATATCCCTTGGTGCGAGTGTATAGCTCCTTTTCCCGTGCTAAGATCTCTTCTGTGGTTACCCTCCTGGTTTCTTCCGCAGGTTCGTCGGGCACGGTGATGTGAACCGTCGCTGCTTGGAGTGTTGCGCCGTGATACGTCCCGCCGGTATCGCCGATGGTGACGGTGTCAATCGTCACTGGCAGCGTCGGTGGTTCTTCAGGAGATGAGGGTGAGGCTCGCTGGCGGTGATCGTCGGGCTGTGTGATTTCGCCTTCTTCGAAGGGTGTATCGCCGATCGCCACTCCCCTTGTCTCGAGGCGGAGGTAGTCCCTGCCGTCGGTCGTGATGGGAATCAGGTGAGGTCCATACTCCGTTAGTAGCTCTTCTTCTTCTGCTTCTGGTGCTTCTCCCGCGACTTCTGGTAATTCCACCGTCTCGGTTGTCTCTGCTGCAGGTTCTTCGGTGGTTCCCCATCCTGATGTTTCTACTGCCACGGCTTCTCCCGGCGCGGTGTTTTCAACGACCCAGCGCACGTCGACCGCGTCCCACCCTTGAGTGGTGTTCCAGCCAGTAGGGTGGGTGACAGGAGGCCAGGTTTGTTGCGGGACTTCTGCCTCCGCAGTTTCGGTCGTTGCGATTGCCGTGTCTGACGTGCCTTCTTCTCCCTCTTCCACTGCTTGCGTTCCTGTGCTTCCAGGATTTGTGGTCGAAGCGACGGGCACGGCGAGGGCGCGGAAAGTACCATCGAGGCCAGGCCGCTGGTAGTCGGTCTCCTCAGGATGGCTCCATTGTGGTGGCGACGGGTGTCCAGGTGGGTCAAGAACGAGGATGTGTTCGTTGTCTCCAGAGGTTTTGGATGACTCAAAGTCAAGCACGAACACTCCTTCCACACTGGTCGCCTTCCCGATGAAGATCCCGTTGTAGATTAAATGCATCTCGTCTTCTGTTGTTTCCAGGCCGACTCCGCACTTCATCAACTGGTGGAGGGACAGAAGGTTGTACCGAAGCTCAGGTACAACAAGCACGTCGCTGATGTGGATGCAATACCCGGTATCGTTGGACTCTAGCTGGATCTGCCCGCGGCTATTTGCGTAGATGGTTTGACTGTTGGCAACAGTGATCTCCACTTCGTTGAAGAGCCGTTCACTGTTGAGGATGAAGACGTCAGACGACACCATGTGTTGTCCGCAGCAGCTGTCCAGGTACCAGGTGTTGACTTCTTTTCTTGCCTTGGCGAGGTTGGCGAGCCTTGGAGTGATGTGATGCTCCATGTCGTGCTCGTGTTCGTAGTCATATGTATAATCCTTGTCTTCGTATGCCTCGCGTGCAGGTGGTGACTCCTGGATCCAAGGCGGCATTTCCCAGTCATACTCCATGCGGCCAACTGTCAGCTCGTCGTATGTCGAGTCGTTTTCCTCCTCGTCTTCGACCGACCCTTCAGGACGCTCTTGCGGTGGATCTGCGAACATGTCTTCCCAGCTGCGGAAGAAGCGGTAGTGTCGGTCGGACGAGGTGGACCTCGTCGTACCATGCAAGTCAACACCTTGCTCTTGCCCTTGTCGGTTGTGTTCGTAGAGACGCGCGCCGGAGCTTGGGATGTGCTTGCGACGGCTGGCGGTGACACGGTCTGATTGCGTACTGGAGTCCTTCCTTGCTGGTGAGTGGCGGCTCCCTTCTGGTTGTTGTTGTTGCCGTTCAGCTTCCAGCAATCTTGAATTGTGTGTCCAGTCTTCTTGCAGTACTTGCAGAAGAGTCTCTTCTTGTCTGGTGGCGCTTGTGCGTAGAAAGCGATCTTCTCCTTCTTGTTGCCTCTCTCGTTGTACAGGTCCATTTCCTTCTGCTCTGAGAGGAGCGTTAAGCAGAGGGCGGTTTCGCTGACGGTTCCTTGAGTGCGAAGGAGCGACTTGCACTGGCGCCATTCCGGGCTCAATCCAGCGAGGATGATCGTGACGAACATGTCGTCAGGGAAGTTTCCGCCGCTTTTCCTGAATTGGTCTCTCAGGTTTCTGCAGCGGTTGATGTAGGATCCGGCTTTCTCGTCGGGAAACAACTTGACATTGTTCAGCTGGTTGAGCAGGCGAGTGAGTGTCACCGAATCTGTTGCCATGTGGCAGGTGCGCAGGTGTTCCCAGGACTGTTGCGCGGGTGCCCACTCGTTCTTGAATGGGCGGATGCTCAGCTGTTCTTCAGGCGATAAGTTCCGGATCAAGACGGTGAAGGCCAGGAGAGATTCGTTGTAGTACTGCGTCTTCTCCTGAGGTGAGCCGTTGGTTGGAAAGGGATACGAGCCGTCGTAGTACATCCAGATCTGGGCGCCTTGAGCCAGTAGCTCGAATTCGAAGCTCCAGGTGTAGAAATCTTGTCCGTCGAACGGCTTTGTTGTCCTGAGCTTTGACGTTGACAGGAACTTGTTTTGCATTGACGCCATTGTCTCGAAATGTGCCTGTTGTGTTTGAGCAGGTCCTGGAGCTCCGCGATTGTCGAAGGTGAAGGATCGTTCAGATCCAGCTCCTTGAGGATCGGGAGGTCTTCGGGCGTAGCTGGAGCCGTCAATGCTCATTGGCTGATGGCTCTCCAGTGCGCTGATGCGGGAAATCAGCTGCTCGAGGAGTGCTGTGTCCACGGTCGTTGTAGTAGAGGTAGCGTTAGTGGACGGATGTACTGGATTCTCTCCAGTTTCTCCGCAGTCGGCGCCTGGCATGTTGTTTGCCCTTGTAGTGAGTTATATGAGAAGTTACCTTTTGAGAAAGGTCTTTTTAGCAGTTCCTATAATCCAAACTGGCTCTCATACCATGCTAGAGTGAGGATCTTGGATAGGATAGGAAGTGCCCTAGAAAGAGTTGGTAGCGGAAGTCTTGGTAGGAACCTTGATCATAGTGAATGTAAATGAAAAGGTTGATTAATAGATAGAATACAAGCAAATAAATAGTCCTAGCTAGCCATGTACTCTAAGGGGTACATTCCCTTATTATAACTGTAGTACAAGCATTGCTACAGTGACTCTGACTATTGCATTTCCTTTCTTGTTACCGAGTCGCTGCTTGTAACCGTGCGTACGGTTACGCCTGTTGCCATTCCTCGATAGTAGGTCAATCATCGGTCCAGATAGTCAACAGTCGCGACAGTTGACTCTTGCGACTGTTGACTTTCCTGCCTTGATATAGGCTGATCCGACATCTGCTGCTCGCGCTGCTTCGATAGTAGCTGGTGCGATGTTGCTGCACCTTCGGGAATGATGGCTTAAGATTCCCTTCATATTCCAACATAGGCGACGTCAAGGCGATCTAGATCCAAGTTGAATGAGGTCATTTGGAGCTGTAACTAGATCGCTATGAACGTTTGAAGCCGCTGTGCAGAAATCTGACTGCGCACTCAATCTTTTGTTTTAGGCACATTGAAGCCTATTGTGACTATAACAGTTCGATGCTTTTCCCTAGGCCTATGAGGATTCATGCACTTTGTTACCATTTGTCGGCAGGCACAGCCGTCATCGTAAGCGCCGAACTTTTCTGTGCGCACGAACCAAGCTGGAATTGATCTGGTTTGTATATTTGACCATGGGCCACCCGAATATGCATCCTTGGTAAGCTTTGACTTTGTCACGTACAGAAATGTCAAGTTAATTCTGTATCGTAACAACCTCTACCTTTTCGTTCTCTGGGAACTCAAATGAAGTACATGGAATGATGTTGTTGTTATATCTCTTTATTTTCATAGAAAAATGTTTCATGTGGTTGTAATTGTAGTTCTTCTAGTTAATTCTGGAACAGACATTTTGGGCTTTGTCGAAGCTCCCAGCAAGTGGTGCCCATCTTGCTTGTTCGTCGCTCTTGATCTGGTGGGTTGAATAAGTGCTGTTCAGGTCTCTACTCTCGCTCTTTTGCTCACCTGAACTTTCTCAAGGCTCAAATCTTCGCACGGGTTAGTCTCCTTGTACTCTTTCTCGAGATCAAATGCACCAGTATTGCGCAGTATGGAACGCTGGATGCAAGTGTCGACCGCCGTATGGTTCCTGTTGTATCTCTCTTTTTGCGTGTCTTCTCTTGCCTCGGATTTTTCTGGAGCAGAATTGTCTTATTTACTGCTTTCTTCTCGCTGTTGTCGCCCCGCTTCCTATTGTGTTGCATGGATGTGGCAGGTGAGGACTCGAGGACGTCATTGACAGAGTAAGCGCGTTCCGGCGTGACACTCTGCATCCGTCGTTTGACCTCGTTCAGTCTTCATCTGTTTTCCCCTGTTGCGATCGCTTTCCTGAAAAAACTTGATCCTGTTATTCCATCTTTCGCTTGCCTCAACGTCTGTGTTGCTCTCTGTTTGTCCACCTTGCGCGCCTGCTTGCAGGGAGGCAGTCGTTTAACATCTGCCGAGGACAATGTCGGACGGGTACGCTTCTTGTCGCCATCTCTTATCTCTGCTCTTCGCCCCTTTCACTCGTGTGTGCGCGTACCTGTCGCCTCGCCGCTCCCTGCTATCGTATCTTTCCACACCCGTAACCAGCTCTCTCTCCTCCCCCCCCCCCCCCCCCCCCCCCGCCCCCTGCCCCCTCCGCGGCGCGGCGCAGAGATGAGCCCGTGGCGATTGAGGCGGAGGTCGCCGCCGTGGAGGTGGAGGCGCCCGCGGAGGCGATGGACACGATGACGGCGCTGCAGCGCGTGCTCAAGAAGGCGCTGGCGCACGACGGGCTGGCGCGCGGGCTGCACGAGTCGGCGAAGGCGCTAGAGAAAAGCAGCGCTCAGCTGTGCGTGCTGGCGCAGGACTGCGACCAGGAGGACTACAAGAAGCTCGTTCAGGCGCTGTGCCACGAGCACAACATCAACCTCATCCAGGTGCGACCTGCCACGAGCACAACATCAACCTCATCCAGGTGCGACCTGCCACGAGCACAACATCAACCTCATCCAGGTGCGACCTGCCACGAGCACAACATCAACCTCATCCAGGTGCGACCTGCCACGAGCACAACATCAACCTCATCCAGGTGCGTTCCCCTTGCGCCGCCGCCTGCAGCATTCAGGTGCGCGCCACTGCTGAGCATCCCCGTCCAAAGGGGACAGTTCTCTCCGCCGAACATTTTCAGATGGCTAATCATCGAGGGGTTCTGGCGCCAGGCGGCGACGTGAAGCGGCAAGGTAGTGGCAGGGTTTAGGCTGCCTCGCCACGAACTGCCGATTCCAGCGAATCGTTCGCTTTTAGTAACGAGGGGGGTGCAGCGGCAGCAGAAAGTCAGCATAGAGTCAGGAAACGGCCATCAGACGGTCAGCAAACGGTCAGCAAACTGTCATTTGAGAGTCGGCACAGGTCAGCAGACGATCAGCAGACAGTCAGCAACCGGTCAGCAAAAGGTTTCCAGACAGTCAGCACCCGGTCAGCAAGGTTTCCAGACAGTCAGCACATTAACGGGAAACGGTCATCTGAGAGTCTCCACACAGTTAGCAAACGGTTAGCAGACAGTCAGCACACGGTTATTTGAGAGTCGGCACACGGTCAGCAGACAGTGAGCACACGCTGTGGTGACAGGCTAGTAGCTGCTTGGCGACTAAGCCGTAGCGAGTTGGGGTTCACAGTCAGCTCAAGTTGCGATTCCGCGGTTGCAGTGGCCCCTCTTTGAAGTCGTCTCGTGAGGCGGGGTGCTGAGTTGTGCGGCGGCTCGTGTGCGTGCGGTGGTGCGTGTGGTTGTGGTTGGGTGCGTGGCTGGCAGGTGCCGAGCGCCAAGACGCTGGGCGAGTGGGCGGGGCTGTGCAAGCTGGACTCGGAGGGCAAGGCGCGCAAGGTCGTCGGCTGCGCCTGCGTCGTCGTCAAGGTCAGCAAGCGGGGGGAGGGCGCGCTGCTCCAGTATGGGGGGGAAGGAGGGGAGAGGGTTAGGGCTGCTGGGCTTGGGATCTTTTGAAGTGCATGGGGTTTGGCGAAGTGCACGTTGGTTTGTTACTGCGCATGGGGGTTTGGTGGTGCGCATGGGGGTTTGTGGTGCGCATGGGGGTTTGTGGTGCGCATGGGGGTTTGTGGTGCGCATGGGGGTTTGTGGTGCGCATGGGGGTTTGTGCTGCGCATGGGGGTTTGTGGTGCGCGTGGGGGTTTGTGGTGCGCGTGGGGGTTTGTGCTGCGCATGGGGTTTTGTGGTGCGCATGGGGGTTTGTGGTGCGCATGGGGGTTTGTGGTGCGCTTGGGGACTTGCATGGGTGGTGCGCGTGGAAGAATGCTGGGTGGTGGTTATGGGCAGCGCTTGCATGTGAAATATGCACGTTGCACATATGGCCGTTTGGTTCTGTTGTATCTCATTATGGGCCAGGTGGGGTTTGACTTGTGAGTGTCCATGAGGTGATTTCTCTGGTGAAGTGAGGGTAACCACCATTGAGAGCTTGAGCATGCGACAGGATCTGAAAGGACATTCGTGGTTGTGTGTGTGTGTGTGTGGTGTTGGGGTGGCAGGACTATGGCGAGGAGACTGAGGCACTGAACGTGCTCAACGAGTACCTCAAGTCCAAGTAGCGCACTGCTGCTCTGCTCGCATGCCCAGCCCAGGGGCAGATGCTCCTTGTGCTGCTGTAGGGTTGCTGTGTCGCCTCTAGTGACGCTTCTCAGCTGCTCTTGAACCACTGCCCAGTTGCTTTGGTTGCCCGTGCCCTGTCTTGTAAATTTCATTCATTACTTGAAAGGGCAACATTGACACCTGTTGGCAAGCCATTGAAAGGAGCATTGAAGTTGTGGCAGCTATAATTGTGTAGTACACCCGGCATGATGTTTGAAAGTACATGGGCAAGCACATATTCTAGCAACACCCTGATTTTCCTACACTTTATACACGCTATCAATAATACTTCATACTAATCCTAGCCTAATCCTTGTCAACTACTGTGGCCTCCACGTCCACCACTCTGTCTGTCCCTGTCGCCCTCCAACCCTGCTTGACTTGAGATTGTGACCCTGTTGCACGGCACACAGTAACATTAGCAACCAGACCATGGTAGGTGGAGCGGACAAGGCACAACCCCTAAGGTGACAAAGTGAATGCACAATGTGATGTGCCAGCCTTACTTGATTGGGAATTGAAGCCACGGCTGCTGCCGTCCGCTTGCTGAAATCTGCCATCTTCATCTGAGAGCAACAAAAAGGGTGCGTTAGTTAGCACAAGGCATGGTGGCAAGGCAACTTGAAGAGGCAAACATGGGAGAGAAAGCGCACAAGTGCTGCGGAGCAAGCATGGGTGATCCAAGCCAGCAGGTGGTATGAGGGGTGAGTGAGTGGACGGAAGGGCATGAGAGGCGGGAGAGAGGAGAGCGTGAGGATGGAAGGACTGACACTTCATGGAGCGCAGGCAGGAGGGGCACACCGGTGCTCCATGCGCCACTGCGTTCCTGCTCATGTGGGAAGGCACCCGATGCCGTTCAGGCACACACAATCACACACACACACACACACACACACACACACACACACACACACACACACACACACACAATCGCGCGCGCGCACACACACACACACACACACACACATATGAACAGTGCGGACGCGAGTGAGGGGCGCTGGTCCAAAGCAGTGCCATGGCAGGAGAGAGGAATCTGGGGGAAGAGGTTGGCGCAGGCAATTACTAGTGAAGGTAGAGTGGCTGACACAAAAAGAACATGTGACAAGTGCGAGTGTGCAGGCGGTGCAGCTATGCAGCGCTCTCCCTGACCCCTCCCATTGCGCTGTGCCCCGCACCCCCTTGAGCCAGCACCCAGCGCGTGGGGTGTGCCCCCTGCGCTCACCTGTCGAACGTGAACTGGTGGTCGCACCACGGGCACTGCTCACACGGGTGGGGGGCACCGCACAGCACACAGCACAATGCGGTGGGAGATGGTGAGAGGTCACGCGAATTTGCATGCAAGTCTCGACCAAAACGTTGGAAAAACGAGGAACTTTGTTTCTGAGAGATTCGAAGCATTATTATGGTGTAGCACGTTCGCAAAGCTTTGATATAACACAAAGACCCCTATAAACTAAGCAGGAGGGGAAGGGAAAACGGGGGGGAAGGGGAAGCGGGAGGGGAAGGAGAAGAGGAGGGGAAGGGGAAGCGGGAGGGGAAGGGGAAGCGGGAGGAGAAGGAAACGGTGTCGCACGTTTGTAAAGCTTCAAAGGAAAACAGAGCTCCCAATAAACTAAGCGGGAAGCGGGAGGGGAGGGAAAAGCGGGGGGAAAAGGGGAAACGGGGGCGGGGAGGGGAAGCGGGAGGGGAAGCGGGAGGGGAAGGGGAAGCGGGAGGAGAAGGGGAAGAGGAGAAGCGGGAGGAGAAGGAGAAGCGGGAGGAGAAGGGGAAGAGGAGGGGAAGGGGAGGCGAGGGGGGTACATTGGCGACGGCGAGCGAGGAGGTGAGCTTGCCGACTATCCACGTGGCCGTGGTGAGCGCCACGTCCAACAGATAGAACACGAACTGCCACGCAAGCATGCACGCACACGCACAAGGGGGAACGAGGGGTCCCGGGGGTGAAGAGGGGGGGGATGGGGGGAGGACAAGGACCGTTCTGAGAAGGAGGGAAGGGAGGCGGAGGGAGTGAGGTTGCAGCGGAGGGGCGGACGAGGAGCGAAAGAAGAGAGCGACCAGGTGTGAGGAGCAGACGGAAGGGTCGCATGCGAATGATGCGCGAGACGGGAGCGATGCGAGAGTAAGAGCCCGACGCTGCAGCGCCGCTTCGTGCTACGCGCGCCGCGACGCACCCAGAGCTGCGCGACGCCCTCGAGCGCGCCGTCGCCCAGCCACCCCAGATGGCCGTCCGTCGCGAACTTGAGCCACGTCACCGCCGCCAGCACGACGCCGCCAATCAGCAACCGCTGCGCGTCGCCCACGCCCGCCCGCGCGCCCCCTTCTCCCGCGCCCATCCCCATCCACGCCGGACCGGCTCCCCCCGACGCTGATCTGCCCGCATCCCGCCTGCCCCTCTCCTCCCCTTCCTCCCCCTGCCACATGCCCCCCTCTGCGCGCGCTTGCGCGTGACTGCGGTCGTCCCGCGCGCGCGAGGATCGGCGGCCGTAGCCGTTGAAGGAGGCGCGGCAGCTGCGGAGGAGGGGAGGGCGGGCGGGGGGAGGTTCAGGGCTTAGCGACGGAAGCACGTGGTTCGGCACGGGGAGGTGACAACGGGGAGCGAGGGCGGAGAGACGGGGAGGGAGCGCGGGCAGGGAGCGCGGGGAGGGAGACAAGGCAGCGGCGACGACGAAGCCACCAATGTGGCCCGCGCATGGGGAGACGACGGGGGAGAGTGGCACTTGGCACTGGTAACAACCAGCGAGAGCAAGCAACGCACCTTATCGATTCGCGCGCTCTGGCGGCGGATAGGTTCGAGCGACCGGCGGAGTGAAAGAGCGGGTGGCGGGGGAGGAGCGCGCTTGACGACACACGCGGATCCTGCGCGCACCGCCGTTGCCCGCCTCGCGGAAGCAGCGGCAGGCGAGCGGAATGAGAGCCGCGAACGAGCACGTCCATCCGCACGGTGCCGGCGGCGAGTCTGGAGGACGTCATGGCGCCGCGACGGGGCGAGGGGCGAAGCGGGTAAGAGGCGAAGTGAAGAAGTGCTGGTGAGGCGAGGCGAGAAGAACGGGATGAGGAGGTGATGGACAAGTGTTGGAAGGAGCCAAGTGAAAAATATGTCAACGAGCAATGCGATGCTGCAGTGGGCTGGTTGGTTTGGGTGGGAGCGCGTCCCGCAGATGCGGAAGGGCAGCGCTGGGCAATGCGAGGGAAGGCGACCGTGACGTGGTCCCACGCAGATCTTCGCTGGCTGAGCGGGAAACTGGCATGCCCTGGAATATCGCCCGTACGCGCCGTTGGGAAGCCCCTTTATTGATTATCTCATAAGCGTTTCAAGCTGCAAGTTGCTATACACCAAAAAAAAAACGAGTTTTATCAGCTGCTCCAGATTAGTATGCATTCGTTGCTGCGGTGGGGCCTCATAAGCGGTAAATTCAATCAAGGCATGGTTACACATCTGCAAATGCGTTTTTTTTTTTTCCTTGGCATTATCCAATTCTGCGTAGGGAGCATAAATGGACGAATAGCCAATAAGTGTGTACTCCCTCCCACTGTAGATGCTGTGCACCCGCACAGGTGGCATGCAGTGACATGAACACACCGACATGGCTGCCTTGCGTTGCCTTGCCTTGCCTTGCCTCGCCTGGATAGACGCCTCACGTGCGTGAGAGCACTCCCTTGGAACTAAGGGGTGGTGAAAGGGGCAAGGGGAGGCAGAGGGGGAGAGTGGAGGCGAGGCACCATGTGAGTGAAGGGGAACCACAACAGAGCCATGGTGCCAAGCCTGAGGCGCTGCTGCTGCCCACGCAGGCTTGGGTGGAAAGGCAACATAGCAAGTGAAACAACTAGGTTTTTTCCACAGGAAATTCACACAGCTTACTATTTACCTGAGAAATATGAGGGCTTTGGCTTAATTAGCTGGAAATTTACCAGGGCACAACTAGAGATGCACCTTGGCACGGCTGGGTATTCACCTGGGCACGGCTGGGCATTCACCTGAGCACGGCTGCGTATTCACCTGGGCACGGTGTGAGCGCGGCGGGGGTCGATTTCAGTGGCCTGTCGCAGCGCCCTGGCGAAGGCCTTGAAGGTGGCCTCTATTATGTGGTGCGTGTTCTTGCCCGCTAGCTGTGCCATGCACACAGAGAGGCGAGAAATAGGGGTGGAGACAGGGTGGAGGGGGAGAGCAGGGGTGGGGAGGCGAAGTGTTGCAGAGGCGATAACGTGCCGGAGAGGGAGAATATGAGGCGGACAGCACAACAGGTTTGAGCGAGAGTGCAGACCAGGCATAGCACAGAGAGCAGCATGACGTGAAGGGAGCACATGCTCATCACACCACTTGTGTGGGCACCAACATGCGGTCACCTTGAGGCTTGAAGGGTGCCACCTAGCGGAAGCACCTGATTGGGCAGCTGAAGGGCGTGAGCTGGCGGGTGAAGGGCGTCACCTGGCGGATGTGCAGCGTCATGCCGCTGGTGTTGACGAGCGACTGGAAGAAATGCTCCACCAGCTGCCGTTGGTGTTGCACGCAGGAGGGCAGGCAGGGGAGAGGCACCAAAGGATAGAGGGCATTGCAGAGGGGAATGGTGAAATGAAGATGGAGGTAGTCGAAGTGGGAAGGGAAGCGGGGAACAAGGGCAGAGGCAGACACGAGGTGCAAAGAGGGAGGGTTGGCACATGGAGAAAGAGAGTGGAGTGGAGGGCGGCACCTGGGTGTCGTAGGTGCCGACTCTCTCCGTGGGCATGGTGACGTCAAACGACAGGTGCGGCCGCCCCGACAGGTCCTGATGATGAAAGCAGAAAAGGGAGGTTGGCAGAGACAGGAGGGCAGGGAAGGGTTGGAGAAGCGGAGAGAAGAGTGGGTGAACGGGTCGGATGTGGGAAGCACGGGACGGGTGCACAGAGGGTAAGGATGGAGGTGATTTCGATAAAATCCCGAACAATCACATGCAGCACCACGTGGATGAGCGCCTACCAGCACCACGTGGATGAGCGCCTACCAGCACCACGTGGATGAGCGCCTACCAGCACCACGTGGATGAGCGCCTACCAGCACCACGTGGATGAGCGCCTACCAGCACCACGTGGATGAGCGCCTACCAGCACCACGTGGATGAGCGCCTACCAGCACCACGTGGATGAGCGCCTCGTCCAGCGGCGCACTGAAGTCCCCAAAACGCCGAATGCCCTTCCTGTCCCCCAGCGCCGCCGCCAATGCCTGGCGGGTGGCAGGGGGGAGGGAGGTACAGGGCGCGAGGTCAGGAACAGGCAACATAGAAGGCGAGGCGAGGAGCAGGGGAGTGAACGGACAGCAGGGTGGATACATGGCGGTGTGCATGGAACGGTGGCATGGTGTTGCTTTGGCAGCCACAGAACCAGGTGATGGTGGGGTCATCCAACCACACACGAGCCCCCCAAGTGGCTGGCAAGAGAAGCCATGCAACGGCATCTCATGGGACAACACATGGGCGCTGAGCACAGCAGAGCAGAGCAGGGCAGGGCACAGCAAGGCATGGCACTGCACGGCAGGGCAGGGCAGAGCAGGGCAGGGCAAGGCAAGGCATGGCACAGGGCAGGGCAGGGCAGGGCAGGGCAGGGAGGGGCAGGGCGGGGCAGAGAGGGGCAGGGCGGGGCAGGGCAGGGCAGGGCAGGGCAGGGCCGGGCGGAGGGGCACGAACGGAGCCGAGGGCAAGGCCGATGTCTTCGTTGGTGTGGTGGTCGTCGATGTGCACATCGCCCTCCGCCCTCACACTCACGTCCATCAACCCGTGTGATGCCAGCTGCTGCTGGGTGGGGAGGTGGAGAGACGGAGGGATGGCACGGGGCAGGGCAGTGCGGTGAGCGGCACAAGTGGCATTGCACGGCTGTGAGGGAGAAAGTGTCCAGGCGGGGGGGGGGGATTGGGAGGAGGGGGAGTTAAACAAGGAAATGGACGTGACACGTGTAGACACGTGTATGTATAGGCGGGTCAAATGCTCGCCCAGCAACGACAGCCGGTGGCAACACGTGGCTCAAACGTGCACAATGCGCTCAGTGCCTCACCCACGTGCATCCCAAGGCCCCCACGTGCATCCCAAGGCCCCCACAAGCAGCACGCCCCACTGACGTCCATCATGTGGTCGAGGAAGGGGATGCCGGTGGCGGAACAGCAGCGCCCCTCGCCGTCAATCGCGATCGTCACCTCCACGTCCGTCTCCTTGGTCCTCCTCGCCACCCGCGCCACTCGCTGCCCTGCTCCTGTGCACCCACGCACCCATGCCGCCATGCATGCGCCATGAACCAGGCACACATAGTGGGGGCCGACGGAAGAGAAAGGAACTCAGGGTAAGAGCCGGGAGGCACAGGAGCGACGGTACAGGAGGAGATTGTGCCATCAGCCAAGTGTGTGAGGCCACGTGTGCGCCACGCACCCGACCCAACCATCGCCCCTCGCCGCGCAGCAATCACTCACCGTCGCTCGCCACGGGTGCCGCTGCGGCAGCTCCGCCATTCACGGCGGCAGCTGCGGCGTCCGCTTCTGCCATGGCGCGGGCCACGTGCCTCCCGGCTCGTGAACCTGCCCGCTGCGCGAATCGGACTGTGCGTCGCGACGAGAAGAGCGGGCAGAACGGCGCAACGTCGGATTCCGCCGCGGCTGACGGCGCGGGTGACGCGGTGAGGGTGAGGGCGCACGGAGAAGCGGCGGAGGCGAGGAAGGGGTGCGCCGCGCGGAGCGCAGCGGCGGCCGACAGCAGCTCGGCCGCGCTATGATGGCGCGACGTGGCTCGAGACGCGAGGGAGGGCGACGGGAGGCGCGCCGAAAGAGCCATGAATGGGTGATGAGAAGCAGTAGTGGCAACGGGTCGCAAGATGTGTGAAGGAAAGGGGAAGAGATGTGTGGATGGGAGGAAAGCATGCACACCTTCGCAACCCTAACGACAAAAGGCTAGTTACTGAAAGTGGTAGTATCGCTGACGCAATAATTGCAACGAAACGATTGCGAAAGCGAGAGTAATTGGACGAGTAACGAGTGTTGCACTATCGAGATCTGAGATGAGCGATATGAGCGATGACGCGAAACATGGTGAATGCGTTGAACGCGTTGCGTCACGGTTCAAAACGGTAACCCTTGACAACCGCTTTTTACTGTCCTGAGCCACGAAGCATGAACTGTAAATGTGCAACCTGCCCAAGCCAAATGCATGGATCTGGACTGCGGGTTACACCAGGCGAATATTGAAGTTGTCAGAACGACGATTTGGATCACACCTGGATCGCGGTTCGGCCTCTCAGGACAGCGCAGGCTCAAGCCGTCGATTGGCCGACGTGGCTGTCTACAGCACCCCAGCAGAGCGACACCACCACTCACCAAAACTCAAGGCACTGATACTAGAATCTGGTTTATATGAATGTCGGGTCGGTTCAAAGAGGTAAAATAGCTGAAACCACCACAATCAACAGCATTCAACTCGACCATGGCTACCAATATGCAAGTGAACCCCCTCCGCCACTCCACAGCTCACCACAGTACACTGAATCTCGCCGCCAAATTCTCTCTGACTGCACGAGCCTCTCAGCCTATCGCCTCGCTCGCTCGCGATTACCAAGGGGCCACTGGCAATCTACATCTAGAGTGCTCGGATCGCGGCTGCTGATGCACGCGCGGCATGGCGTCGCCGCTCAGAGCCACCGCCAGCAGCGGGCGACTCCAGCAGCGGTCGCCATCGACGCACGCCGCCGTGCCTCTCGACCAGCCGCTGCTGCCCCTCCGCCTGTCGCCTCCGCTCGACTCCACCGCGTCAGTGCGCGCCGACGACTCGACGGCGTCGCTACGACCAGCGATAGATGACGAACGACTGTCGCACGAAGGCCAAGTGTCGCGCGAGGTGGAGGAAGGGCGGTTGAGAGGAGCCTACGTGCCGCCTACGATCCGCCCATCCCCGCCGTCCGTCCCCGCCCGCATGCCATCGTCGCAGTCCCGCTGGCTATCGCACCGCGTTTCCGCTCGCCCCGCGTTCCTCGCTCTCGTCGCCGTCCTCGCCGCACTGCTCGCCGGCGGCTCGCTTCTGCTCTCGCGGTCGCCGCTGCCGCCTCTCGGCGACCTGCTTGCGACCACCGGCGACACGGGCGATCGACCCCCAGACGACAGAGTGAGATCTGAGCTGCTGGCCCAGAACGGGAGTGCGATGGAGGGTGGCGGGGAGGCCGACAGCGCGGATGGCGCGGAGAGAAGAGAAGCGGAGGAGACGAGGCGCACGGATGAGGAAGAGGACGGTGGCGCGAGGGGAGAGACGGATGGTGTGGCGGGGGAAAAGGAGGGCGTGAGCGGAAAGGAGGCTGTGCGTGGTGGCGAGGGGTTGAGAGAAACGGACAAAGTCGGAATGGTGGAATCGGAGAAGGGAAGCAGGGCGGGCAGCAGCAGTGGTGGCAGCAGCAGTGGTGGGAGCAGCAGTGGGGGGAGCAGCAGTGGTGGCAGCAGCAGTGGTGGGAGCAGCAGTGGGGGGAGCAGCAGTGGGGGGAGCAGCAGTGGGGGGAGCAGCAGTGGGGGGAGCAGCAGTGGTGGGAGCAGCAGTGGTGGGAGCAGCAGTGGGGGGAGCAGCAGTGGTGGGAGCAGCAGTGGGGGGAGCAGCAGTGGGGGGAGCAGCAGTGGGGGGAGCAGCAGTGGGGGGAGCAGCAGTGGGGGGAGCAGCAGTGGGGGGAGCAGCAGTGGGGGGAGCAGCAGTGGTGGGAGCAGCAGTGGGGGGAGCAGCAGTGGGGGGAGCAGCAGTGGGGGGAGCAGCAGTGGGGGGAGAGACAAGATGCGAGTAAGGAAAGCAGGAGGGCCGGAGGGCAGCGAGGGAGGTGAGGAGAGCGAAGCAAAGAGGCGCAAGGAGAGGCGAGGGGAGCGGCGGGCAGGTAGCAGGGGCGATGAGAGAAGCAGCAAGCAAGGGAGTGCACAAGGGGCAGCAGCACACACCACGACCCGAGACAAAGTGACTCTAGCGAATGTGACTCAAGGCAACATGACTCAAGAGACTGTCATTCAAACGAACGTGACTCAAGACAATGTGACTCAAAGCGACGTGAATCAAGGCAACGTGACTCGAGGCAACGTGACTGATGGCGACGGGAGCGAGCAGCAGGACGGGGTGAGTGCAGCGGCAGCAGCTCCTGCCAGTGCCGAGCCGGGCGCCTCAGCGTCACCACGAGGTATGCCCCCCTGCCTCCCTGCCCCCCACGCCTCTGCCGCATCCCTCCTTCCCTGCCCTGCACCCCCACGCTGGCTTGAGCGTGCAATGAAAAGGCACGTCTGCTGTTCCCAAGCCAGGGCTCCACCTTCCCCTCATCACCCCCGCACCCTCCCATCCCGCACTGCCCCTCCGGTCCACCCGTCTCCCCCACAGCGCTGCACCCGGCATGCGACCTGTCACAGGGCACATGGGTACCCACCACCCAGCCGCCTCTCTACTCAGGGGCCAACTGCACGTGGGTGAGCCGGCAGTGGGCGTGCCGCAGAGCCACCGACCGCCCGTCCTTCAGCCACGAGGCGCTGCAGTGGCGCCCCTTGCACTGCGACGTGCCGCCCTTTGACCCGCTTGACTTCCTTGACCGCCTGCGCCACCGCGCCCTCGCCTTCGTGGGGGACTCGCTGGCGCAGCAGCAGTTCCAGTCGCTGCTCTGCCTGCTGGGCTCCGCCGTACCGCCAGGGGCCACGGAGGACGTGGCGGGCGAGTGGGGGTTTGAGAACCTGCCGGTGAAGAGCAAGTACAAGCGCATGCGCCCCACCGGCTATGCCGTGCGCTTTACCACCACCAACACCACCATCCTCTTCTCCTGGTCCTCCTGCCTCTGTAAGGTGGGCACTGCTGCCAGGGCAGGTGTGGTGTGGGGGTTAGAATATCCTTCCATCCTCCATCCTCCATCCTCCATCCTCCATCCACCGCTCACCCAGCATCCCTCTACTGGTGCAGAGTGTGTGTGATTCGGAAGAGCTGTGCCACACTAAGTGCATCGTGCTGCGCTGTTGCTCCACATGCTCTCTGCCCCACCCACATGCTCTCTGCCCCACCCACATGCTCTCTGCCCCACCCACATGCTCTCTGCCCTACCCACATCCCAGCATCCCCTCGTCTGCCCGTGCGCCCCCGCTTCCCCCAGATAGCGCACTACAACATGAGTGACAGGCTGGGCGGGGGGGCGGCCATGCACGTGGACCAACCAGACGAGTTCCTGCGCTCCCACCTGGGGCGGCTGGACGTGGTCGTCATGAACAGTGCGCACCACTGGAGCCGGTGAGTGCTTGAGGCATGGGTTATGGATATGTCATGGGGTCGTGGGATGATGTGTTGCGTTTCAGCAACACATGCCCTGCCACACCCCATGCCACAGCTATGCCGACCATGTGCCCATGCGCTCTTCCCTTGCACATGATGACATGACATGACATGGCATCAGGGGCAAGGTGCGGGAGAGCAAGTGGGACGTGCACATAGCAGGGCAGCCCGTGAACATCGACGACCCCCACCTGCACCTCCACGTGCTCGTCCACGCCCCGCCGCTGCCCCACGCCCTCCGTGCGGATAATAACAGCAGCAGCAGCAGTGAGGGCGAGAGCAATGGGACGGCCACCTGGGGAAGCAGGGTGGTGATAGAGGGCAACAGTGACATCATGCACGCGCTGCAGCGCATCGCCCTGCGCTCCACCATGGCCTGGCTGCACCGCCACGTCACAGGCATAGAGGCGGGCCACAGTGATGGGGCTTCAGGGCACGCACACGGCGCACAGGGGAGTGGTGGAGGTGGAGGAGAGCCTGGGGGTGGGGAGGGCGGGGCAGGTGCAGATGAGGGGGCCGGTGGTGGTGGGAGGGCGCAGAGGGGAAGGAGGGCGCCACTGCTGCTGCTGCGCACGGCGTCACCGCGGCACTTCTTTGACGGCGAGTGGAACACACGAGGTCACTGCGACCACAAACGCGTGAGTCAACACCCCCCCTCCTCCCTGCTTTCCCTTCATGCCGTCCCTACCCTCATTCTCTCATGCCCTCATGCCCTTCCCCACTTTGCTAGTACCCTCACGCCTATCGATCCACTCAATTGTCTCCCGCCCTACATGCTCGCCACTGCAGGACCCCCTGTCCCTGACCGACGTGCTGCCGCTCAACTCATCGCGCGATGCTGCAGCAGAGCAGGCGGTGGCGGGGCTGCCGTCGCTGCACCTGCTCAACACGTCGCACCTGTCATCCTTCCGCCCCGACGCACACCCGTCACAGTGGGGGTACCTGCTGGACGGCGCCCACCAGGACTGCCTGCACTGGTGCCTGCCCGGCGTGCCTGATACCTGGAACCAGCTGCTCTACGCGCACTTGCTGCTCAGGGACATGCGCGAAGGGGGAGAAGAGGGGGGTGTGATGCAGGTGCAGGGTGATGGAGGGGAGAGAGGAGTGGAGGGAGGAAAGGGAGGGGGCGAGGAGAGCAGGAGATGAGAAGGAATATGTCAACATGTAGAATGCTGGTTCGGTTGCCATCCTTCATTGTGTAATGTATGGTATGCTGCTGCGTACTTGTAGTATCGCAAGCAATGGTGCCAGTCATCACTGTGTCATACATGTACCTGTCTCAAAATGGCTGAACAGAGAGGGTGAACCTGCGCCAGCATGATCATCAATGGCATGCTACAGCCTTGTAAACCTGCTTCACCACACCCAAGCCAGCTGAATATATCATCACAGGGCTGGCAAGCCAGGTCATTAAACAGGTACTGATACAGATTGGTGCATTGCCAATTCATTCAATCGGCACCCTAGACATCACACAGTGAGCGGTCTCAAAAACAATGAATGGTATTCAAAAGCTGTACCATAGAAAGGTTTAAAAGTGACTGCGCATGAGCCAATGCTCAGCTTAGTATTGGGAATTTGAGTCCTAAGTAGCAACCTCAATCTCAAGTCCCTAACTCGTCCAGTCCAGCCTGCTTCAGGCCTAACTCGAGGTCAAATCATCCACGCCATCCTGCGCCCCTCACAGCTCGTCGTGGTCCTCGGGCTCCTCGTCCTCCCCACCCGCAGCACCGCCACTGGGTCCGCCACCGGCCTGGTAGAGTTTGGTCATGATGGGGTTGCACACGCCCTCCACCTCCTTGAGCTTGTCCTCGTACTCCTCCTTCTCCGCGCTCTGGTTGTCGTCCAGCCACTCCAGCGCCTCCTTCACCGCGCCCTCAATCGTCTCCTTGTCCTCATCCGAAATCTTCCCGCCCACCTTCTCCTTGTCACTGATCGTGTTCTTCATGTTGTACACATACGTCTCCAGGGAGTTGCGCGCGTCCACGCGCTCCTTGACCTTCTTGTCCTCGTCAGCGAACTCCTCAGCCTCACGCACCATGCGCTCGATCTCATCTTGGCTGAGGCGCCCCTTGTCGTTGGTGATGGTGATCTTCGCTCTTGCCCGACCCCTTGTCCTCCGCCTTCACGTTCAGAATGCCGTTGGCGTCCAGCTCGAACGTGACCTCGATCTGCGGCACGCCGCGCGGGGCGGGTGGGATGCCGGTGAGGTCGAACTTGCCGAGCAGGTGGTTGTCCTTGGTCATGGCGCGCTCGCCCTCGAACACCTGGATCGACACCACCGTCTGCTGGTCCTGGTACGTCGTGAACGTCTGCGACTTCTTGGTCGGGATCACCGTGTTGCGCGTGATCAGCTTCGTCATCACGCCGCCCACCGTCTCAATGCCCAGCGTCAAAGGCGTCACGTCCAGCAGCAGAATGTCTGACGCGATGGAGATGGGGCGAGGGGTACCGGCACAGACGAGTCATAAGTCGAATTTCTTCCGAGGTAAGCTTGGTAAATTCAAGTGTTGGGTTTGTTTCTGATTTCGTGACGTTACAGGCCCATGTTTCACTGAAGATGCGCCTGTAGACTCTTGAAATTCACCACCAATAACCAGCCATGAGCCCTCGCGAAGTCTCACCTTTGGTTTCGTCGCCGCCCTCGCCGCTGAGGATGCCGCCCTGCACGGCCGCGCCGTACGCGACGGCCTCGTCGGGGTTGACGCCCTTGCTAGGCTCCTTGCCGTCGAAGTAGTCCTTGAGCAGCTGCTGCACCTTGGGAATCCTGCACAATCGTAACCACACACGTCAGTGACCCGATTGGTGGTAGAAGGAAATTTCGAAAAAACATTGGAAGAAACAAAAAAAACAACAATGACGCAGCTCGAAACTGAATCCAATCCGAAACAGGATAGCAAAAAATAAGGCCAGTGAGGCGCACCTAGTGCTGCCGCCGACGAGGACGATCTCGTGGATGTCGGTCTTCTGCAGCCCCGCGTCCTCCATCGCCTTCTTCACCGGCCCCATCGTCTTGCGGAACAGGTCGTTGTTCAGCTCCTCGAACCGCGCGCGCGTCAGCGGCTCCGAGAAGTCCGTGCCGTCGAACAGCGACTCGATCTCCACGCGCACCTGGTGCTGGTTGCTGAGCGCGCGCTTGGCGCGCTCCGCCTCGCGGCGCAGCTTGCCGAGCGCCTTGTTGTCCTTGCTGATGTCCTTGTTGTACTTCTTCTTGATCAGCTTGATGAAATACTCCATGATGCGCTGGTCGAAGTCCTCGCCGCCCAGATGCGTGTCGCCGTTCGTCGCCAGCACCTCGAACACGCCGTTGTCGATCGTGAGAATGCTCACGTCGAACGTGCCGCCGCCCAGGTCGAACACCAGAATGTTCTTCTCGCCGCCCTTCTTGTCCATGCCGTACGCGATGGCGGCGGCCGTCGGCTCGTTGATGATGCGCGCCACGTTCAGCCCGGCGATCACGCCCGCGTCCTTTGTGGCCTGGCGCTGCGCGTCGTTGAAGTAGGCGGGCACGGTCACCACGGCGTCCTTGATCTTCTTGCCCAGGTACGCCTCCGCCGTGTCCTTCATCTTGCCCAGCACCATGGCGCTCACCTCCTCGGGCGAAAACACCTTCTTCTCGCCCTTCACCTGCACCTCCACGTACGGCTTGCCGTCGCGGTTCACGATCTTGTACGGCACCAGCTTCATGTCGCGCTGCACCTCCTTGTCCGCGAACCTGCGCGCACCGGGATTGGAGAGAAGAAAATCGTCAGATCAATAAAGAAAAAAAGGGCCTGCGACAAAATTGTAAAAGGGAAGAGGAATTTCAATCGGTACGACCAGGGGATAAAAGGGTCAACCACGGAAGGACGAAGGAAAGGGCATGAAAGGCGGGTGCTCACTTGCGGCCAATGAGTCGCTTGACATCGAAGACAGTCCGATCCGGGTTGGACGCGAACTGGTTCTTCGCCGCCTCGCCGATGAGACGCTCCGAATCGGTGAACGCGACCCACGAGGGCGTGATACGGTTACCCTGGTCGTTGGCGATGATCTCCACGTGGCCGTTCTTGTACACACCCACGCACGAGTACGTGGTGCCCAGGTCGATGCCGATCACCGTGCCCAGCTTCGGCGCATCCTCTGCTGCCAAAGCGCAGCACGCTAAGGCACATAGAACAAGGAACCCGAGGGCCCTTGCTGTGCGAGCCATGGCTAACTGAATCTGCAGAGCGCGCAAGCCAAGAGAAGAGTATCACACGAGATGGCTGACGAAGGAGTGAAGAACTCAAACCGTCAGCCTATATCTGAGCGCTAAATCACCGAGAATTGCAGTGACTGCCTTCAAAGATGCCTGATGAACTGAGCTTCTGTCATGGGAGAGCGATTGGCCGGATGGGAAAAGCGCGATCAAGATTTATCCGAGAGAGCGGGAAGAATGTTCTATTGCCACGTCGGACTGCTTCCGCGTCGCACGACAGTTCGCGAAACACCACCGTAGCGAAGCTACTTCACACTGGCTCGAGGTTCTCCACTCCACGCAGAACCACGTCGCAAATTCAGCCTCGACCAACCAGAAAGGTGCACTCCTTGGCTCAGCCAATCCCGAAGCCTACGACACTTGTGGAGTTGTCAGCTCTCCCCAAACCCAGCAGCAAACCCCGGTACTGCAGTATTAACAAGCGGAGCACGGCTTTCACGCACCGAAAAGAATACACAAAGAAATGGCTTAGAACTATTATGCGTGTTTAACAATGCATATAGAAAAAATTTGTGAATGGCCAAGTGGCTCTCAGAGATATTCTCTGAGATTTTTACAGATATTAACTTACATGAATAAGAAATATGAACCAAGTGTTAATGCTTGTGGCCCATGCATGATGATCATGTCAAATGACATAACTATAAGTAAATGTAGAATTGCATACAGTATAAGCTAGTATGGTTATCTGGTGTAGTGCCTTGTTGACGGTGTACATTGCTTTGCCTTACTCGCCTGAACTGTTTCTCCTTCCCTCTCGATAGTAACTTAATAGCCAGTAGCGAGGTGGCATCGGAGGAAATTGGGCAGTGATCTTCAGCACGCTGGATCTTCGCCAGGGCTTCAATCAGATACGCATTGCAGAGGCGGACGTGAGGAAGACGGCGTTTCACGGACCAGACGACCTATACGAGTGGCTGTTCATGCCTTTCGGTCTGAAGAATGCATCGGCTGTGTTTCAAAAGGCGATGGACCGGGTGTCGCGCGCGCTGCAGCACTGCGCGGCCTGCTACATAGACGACGTGGTACGGGAAAAACAGGGACGGTAAAGTGAAAGTGGAAATGTTGTTGTAACTCGGTCAACATTACGCAAAGACCTACGCGACGGGAGACCCCTTTTGTTTCTAACTGTAGATATTGGCTACAGCAGCTTGGTTACTGTACCCCGAACTTGTCACAATCAGATATTTAGGCACTCACGGTAAAAAAACGTTCGCGAGTTTGTAGGTCCATAGCATAGAGTACCAGGTCGAGCATCAACTGTACTTTTTGTGACCAGACGACATGAAAGGCAGCAGCAGCAGTCTCCAAGGACGCTTCCCCTTGCAACTGACCAGCAACATTTTTTTTCCTGCACTAATGTTTCGTCAAGTGTTTTTTTAAAGGCTGATAGTTGATTCAGTGCAAGCTTTTTCTACTCTGGTTCTGTTCGTAAACGTTGAGGTAGGGTTAACAGAGTGGAGGAGAAAAACGTATTGTTTTTTTACCAAAACAGCCCGGATGATGACTGAATCGTAGCCATCCAGAGTGTTCCACGCTTAGCATGTCGTAGACGGTAGTACAGTGCAGTACGACAACGATTCTCGCAAATCCCCAACCACCCTCTTTCATCAAACCAATCCTCCCCCTGGAACGACTTGAAGGGAAGAATCCGATGCCCTCGTTTGCAGGGTGGCTCCTCTTGTCTTGACCTCGGCCCGCGGGCTGCTTCTGCTTCGAGAAGCCGACAGTTGAGGGTTGAGCGCAACCCTCGGCTAGCACAGTGAGATTTTTGAGTTAAAACGGTTCAGAATGGTTACAAACAGTTGGTACGATTGCATGCGTTGAGCATGTTCCTATCGGGCAAACGCTGATGATCTGGGGCCTGCTGAAGAATACTGTACTTTTGCAAATACCCCACCTGGAAATGCCTCCAGGGGCACGAGCCGAAAATGACCTGAAGAAATTGGGGACCACCAAAATGCAGGAACGGGAGGGTTGCCTGGGACTTCGTTGGAAAAAATAAAAGTCGTCCATTTCCTTGATACCAGAGTGGAAGGAGAACCTCCTTCGGTATTGCGTGTCCTCAGGTTCCCAGGACCAAAAGGAACTAACCGGCGTTAAAATACCTAGTTATATTAGAGTTGTTTTTAAATGTAACGTATATTTTCAGCCAAGATAGGATGTTTGGCCTAGTAAAACGTAGCTTCTGCTTTATTTCACAGGGCTTCGTCAGTCCTCACGTTTGCGGACAAGACGGAACATAGCTCTAGTCCAACCAGCCCTAAGGGACTGTAAAGCCTGCATCTTGCCTACCCGACAGTTCACTTAGGGCCGTAACTTTTTCACTTTTCATCGTCCGGACGGAGGACCCGTACGGACTTTTGTAGGGTTACGTATTTCGCCTGGTTTCGTTATTGAGTTCGTGAGACCCCTTGCGACATCGCGATCGTCCGTACGAGTTCTGACACTTTTCTGCTTGTTCATCGTCCGTTCTACACTCCTGACGTCGTCCGGACAGCATTTCGGACCGTCCGGAACTCCTGCAACGTCATTGGTGCGCGAAGCACATTTTTTTATCAGTTCTGGCGACTCGGTTTCCTGCTCGCCAGAACCACGTTCTGACGGAAAGGCAACACAGAAGTTCCACTATCGTCCGAACAGGCACACAGACTCACAGCACTACAAAAAAGCGAACTCTCTACAGTCCGGCTTTTTTCTGACACAACTTCATGCATGCGAAGCGGCCGATTTGCTGACGAGCGTTACTGATTCGCTCAAATGCAGTTTCCGCAAGAGCAAAAAAGTGTCATAATAGGGGTACGGACTCATCGTCGTCCGTACCACATCCCCAACCGTCCGGACGGAGCTCCGTTCGGACGATTTGGGGCCCCCGTCCGGACATTTGCCCGAAACGGAAAAAGTTACGCGCCCTTAGGCAGACACACAAAGCGTCATTCCCACAGATCTTTGTCGTAACAGCGTCAGTCTCCATGCATACTCAAGGCGAGAACCGCGGGCGGCGGTGAAAGAAGCAGCAGCGCGTGCGAACTCAAGTCCCCGCGTGGAGTAGTCGACGCCGCCGTGCGGACCGTTGCTGGTTCCGCGGAGGACATCGCGGGATCATCAGATAGACTCCTCAGCGACGACGGAAGCAGCGCTCCTAGCCGTGACAATACGAGCGCGCCACCGTCGTCGTTCCCGCGCGTTGTCGAAGTCGTGACCTTCGCGGAACCCGCGCCTCGCTCCGACGTGCCCGGCATGCGTCTGCAGCTACAGACGCCCTCCGACCCGCTGGGGCCGCGGTCCATGGCGCTCGACGGGCTGTCTCGGTACGAGCTGATCGAGGCGGTCAAGCGGCTCCAGGCGGACCACGAGAATTACAGACGCGAAGGTAAATGTCTTACTACTATCGCTGATGCTGGCAGGGACTCATATGTCTGACTCATCCTCCCTCCGCCTCTCTCCGCGTCTGCTCTCCTGACTCGCCCGCATTTTATCACCGTCGCGAACGTCTAACACGAATTTTCACAGCCTTGCGCATTTTCTGGCGGAGTTATCGCCGTCTGCGTCACCAGTACTGCGCGCAATGGAAACACGAAATTCTTGCACTTATATCCGCGTCGTTTCACTCGCTTTTTGTCGCCGCACGCAACCCATTGCTTGGGGATGTTCCTCCTTTCCCGCTGGTGTGGCGCCCCCCCTCATACCCACACACTCCCCTCCCCGTTTATCCCCGCGCACCGGCAGTGGCATTCCAGAAGGACCTGCTGGCGTCGGTGGGGCAGGCCGTCATCTGCACCGACCTCGCCGGCACCATCACCTACTGGTGCGTCCCCACGCGACGCAGCTAACAATGCGGTCCAAGTAACGGACCGCGGCAGGGGTTTACTCAGCTCGAACGGGGCGGCGCTCAATGTGATGAAATGAATGCTTGATTGCGGTTCGATGCGGTTGGGTTGACTGCGTTACCCTCCCCCACAATTCTTCAATCTGCGCTCGCCGCTTCCGCCTATCCAATTTCCCCATCACGCGCACGGCGCGGGCTGCAGGAACAAGGCGGCGGAGATGATGTACGGGTGGCGCGAGAGTGAGGCGGTGGGGCGGCCGATCATGGAGGTGACGCCGGCGGACACGACGGTGCAGCAGGCGGAGGAGATATTCGGCGCGCTCAGCAAAGGGGAGGTGTGGACCGGCGAGTTCCTCGTCAGGCGCAGAGACGGCTCGCCCTTCCCTGCCATGGTGCGAGTTACCCTTCCCCACGATAGTGCGCGCTACTCCTCCGCGCGACGTTTCGCGCAACCTCTCATACCCCCCAGCGCCCATGCATCGCTCCACCTTCCCAATCCCCCCTCACCCGCGTCCCCACAATCGCCTCTCCGCTTCCGCCTCCGTCTTCTCCCCGCGCGCCACCTTGCAGGTGACGGACACGCCAATTCTGGACCCGGCGGGGCAGCTGGTGGGGGTGATCGGCGTGTCGGCGGACATCAGCGACCTGAAGCGCAAGGAGGGCGAGATCCGCGCGCTCAACGCCGCGCTGGAGGAGCGCGTCGTGGAGCGCACGGAGCAGCTGCAGCGCACCAACGAGGCGCTGCGGCGAGAGATTGAGGAGCACCTGCGCGCGAGGGAGCACCTGCAGCGATGCATCGAGGTGAGGGGCGGTCATGCCTGGAGTCACTAACACCTTCGTTGCTGGAAGAATCACAGTTACCCCTCTGTATCGATAACGCTGACCTGTGCTTCATGTGTGTGCGCATGGCGGCAGGACTTGGAACAATCGCGCAGCCGCATATCGCAGCAGTCGGCGGTGCTGGAGCGGATGGTGGCGGAGCTGCGCGAGGCGCGCACGGAGGCGGAGTCCGCGAACCGCCTTAAATCGCAATTCCTGGCGTCCATGAGCCACGAGATCCGCACCCCCATGAACGGCGTGCTCGGTGAGATGCGCACTCCACGACTGAGTTCACCCCAGCACGGCCTGCTGCACGCACGCTCACGGCCTTGCGTTCACATGCTCCTCATAGACTCTTGCCTTGCCAAGTACTCAGTTTCTACCCTCATCTGCCATACTCGCCCTTCGATGATTGCTTCCAGGCATGACGCGGCTGCTGCTGTCGACGCCATTGTCGGAGGAGCAGCACGGGTTCGTGGACACAATTCGCAGCAGCGGCGACGCGCTGCTGGCGATTATAAATGACATATTGGATCTGAGCAAGATCGAGGCGGGCGAGCTGGAGATGGAGCACCGCGACTTCGACGTCACTGCGTGCGTCGAGGACAGCGTCAACCTGCTCGCGGTCAGTGGAGCTCGCTCGCTCGGGATGGCTTTCCGCACCTACGCTGTCCTTATGGCCTATTGGCTGCGTTCGATAAACCGATTTAGTAGTCTGACGTTCACGTAAACCTTTTAGGGGTGCGAGGAACCTACGCGCAATGAGACTAGGAAATTCAAGCCCAACTCCCAGCATGCGGCTGCCATGGCTCTTGCGCGCTTCGGGGCCAGTTCTTTCCCCGAGGTTTTGGATAAGGATGCCCGTGGCACCAGAGATTCGCTCGCGAATCTCGTTGTCAAGCAACAGCCAATAAACTCGCCACCTTTCCGCACGGGCAGATGCAAAGACGGCCAGATAGTTCGCAATCCTTCCCCTACAAGTGTGGCTGATGCAAACTCGGTTCTGGTAGGCCCCCAACAAGTGTGGCTGGCTGATTGAATGTTTGCCTGCCCGTCACCTGCCCTCCGAAACCAACCTCGAAGACCTGGAAAGTGTCTTGTTTGTTCCCTTTAATAACCTTTTCGACACTCATTGTATGCCCGCTTCTGTTTTACCCCCATTCAGAGACTGATATGAGAAAATGCTTATATGTCTTCTCTCATTCTGCTAGCTTGCTTGAGCACGAAATTTTGGAGTCCCAGTTCGTACTCATGTACGCATTCCTTTCCTCATCATCCCTCTCATCTCAGGTGAGTTTGTGCAGCGCACTCATGGTTTCTTGCACCGACACCACACATATATCTATGCTCCTATATGCCCATATGCTCATGTCATGTGCCATGTGCCCCCCCCCAGGTGCGAGCCATGGAGAAGGGCATCGAGCTTGTGAGCGAGGTGGACGACAGTGTGCCGCGAGTGGTTAGGAGCGATGCAGCGCGGTTACGGCAGGTGCTGGTGAACATAATCTCCAACGCCACCAAGTTCACACACACGGGGAGGTGCACGTCTCCGTCTCCGCTCACTGCCTCGGGGACCAAGTGGATGTGCTTCAGCCTGCTGCTGCCTGCGCGCCCGCCCACGGGGCAGTGCTTGGGCAAGGAGCCATGGATGCCCCAGCAGACGAGCAGCAGCAATCGGACAGCAGCAGCAGTGGCGGCAGCAGCAGCAGCGGGGACGGGTGGGGCGGCAGGGGTTTGAGAGACACGGGGCGGGCCTGGGGCCGGGCGAGGTGGAGCAGGCGCTATCTGCGGGGTACCGGTGGCACCGTGTGGTGGTGCGCGTGCGTGACACAGGCATTGGGATCTCCGCGGACCGCCACGACCGCCTCTTCAAGCCGTTCTCACAGGTGGACGCGTCCACAACAAGGCAGTACGGCGGCACGGGGCTGGGGCTGGCCATCTCACAGCAGCTGGTGGAGCTCATGGGCGGGCGCATCTGGGCGGAGAGCGCCGGGCTGGGCCATGGGGCGACCTTCTCCTTCTATATCACTGCGCTCGCCCTGCCCTTCCGCGCGCCTTGCTCGACTCCCGGGGGGGCTGTGGCTGTTGGGTCGCCCATGCGCCGTGTGCGCCCTGAGGGGCCCGAGGTAGATGCTGAACCGCCGGGGACTGTGTCTGGAGGGAAGGCAGGTGAACGGGACTCCACTGCTCCCAAGCTGTTGTTTGGCCGAGCCGCCACTGCCAGCCGCGCCACCACCACCACCACCGCCACCACCGAGTTCATGACAGGGGAGCAGTGTGGGCGTGACTCTATCCCCCCCCTGCTCTCACCGCGGCGCTTCGCCCGCAGTGCGTCGGTGCCGAGGCACGGCCGGTCCACGTGCATGGCGGTGCGGGGCGTGTCCCACCCGTCCCCCTGCATGCCCGCGTGGCTCATCGACTCGGGCAAGCGCCGCCGCGTGGACGGCGCACTAGGGGAGGGGGGAGTGCCTGGTGTGGCGGAGGAGAGTGTGGGCGCGCTGGAGGTGGGGCTCAGCAGGGTGGCCCTGCTGGGGGGCGGTGGTGCGGGCAGGCGGGAGCAGGGCGCGAGTGATGGGAGTGTGGCGCTCGCTCAGGGAAGTGGAGACGCCGCATGCATGCTGCTAGACACGAGTGAGGAGGATCCGCAGCAGCAGCAGCAGCAGCAGCTGGAGCATCGTGGCATGAAATTCGCCTCCCACGCCTATGCTCATGTCCACCATGGGAGTGTGGCCGGCAGCCAGCTGGCATCGCCGCCCCCATGGGTGGCAGCGTGGCACGAGACCGCTGCCCGGTGCTGCAGGCGGCAGGCGATGGTGGTGGTGGCGCACGCAGCGACACGTGGCATGCTGACGAGGCACCTGCAGGGTCTGGGCATGAAAGTGAGCGCGGCTGCAGGGGGAACGAGGCTGACACGCTGCTGCTGGCGCAGCGGGTTGGGGGAGGCGGGGAGGAGGGGGAGGGCATCATGCGAGGGGATGGGGAAAGCGGGATGAGAGGCGGGCAAGAAAGCGGGGAGCAGAGGGAAGAGAGCATGGGAGTGGAGCAACAGGGGCGCATATGCGAGGCGCGGTGTGGCGGATTTGATTTGATTGTGGTGGATTCCCGGCTGGACTGGCTGCCAGTGCAGCGCTGCAGCAGCAGACAGGGGGAGGAGTGTGATGATGGGGAGTGTGGCAGCAGCAGGTGCAGCGAGGGAGACAGAGGGGGCATGAAGCTGGTGCTGCTGACGCCCTACTCTGGCAACGTGCAGGTACGTCGCTCTTGTGTGCCTTTACTACTCGCTCTCCCCCTCAAGGTCTTCTCCTTGTTGCTATCGATGCACCCAACGGCATGCCTCATCCCTTCGCCCCTCTGCTGCTTTAGTCCTTTGGTCATCACCTCACCTCCTCGGATCTCCCACCTTACTTGCCCTCCTGCCACCCTCTCATTTCCGTCTCGTTATCGCTCTCCGTTTTCCCTCTTCCCCTCTCCCCTCTCCCCCCTCGCACTCTCCTCATCTCCCCCTCTCCCACTTCTTCCCCTTCTTCCCCCTCTCCCATTTTCCCCCTTCTTCCTCCTCTCCCCCTTCTCCCCCTTCTTCCTCCTCTCCCCCTTCTCCCCCTTCTTCCCCTCTCAACTTTCCTCCCCTCTTCCCCCTCTCCCCCTCTCCCCCTCTCCCCCTCTCCCCTCCCCCCTCCCCTCTCCCCCTCTCCCCCTCTCCCCCTCTCCCCCTCTCCCCCTCTCCCCCTCTCCCCTCTCCCCCTCTCCCCCTCTCCCCCTCTCCCCCCTCCCCCTCTCCCCCTCTCCCCTCTCCCCCCTCTCCCCCTCTCCCCCTCTCCCCCTCTCCCCCTCTCCCCCTCTCTCCCCCCTCTCCCCCTCTCCCCCTCTCCCCCTCTCCCCCTCTCCCCTCTCCCCCTCTCCCCCTCCCCCCTCTCCCCCTCTCCCCCTCTCCCCCTCTCCCCCTCTCCCCCTCTCCCCCTCTCCCCCTCTCCCCCTCTCCCCCTCTCCCCCTCTCCCCCTCTCCCCCTCTCCCCTCTCCCCCTCTCCCCCTCTCCCCCCTCTCCCCCTCTCCCCCTCTCCCCCTCTCCCCCTCTCCCCCTCTCCCCCTCTCCCCCTCTCCCCCTCTCCCCCTCTCCCCCTCTCCCCCTCTCCCCCTCTCCCCCTCTCCCCCTCTCCCCCTCTCCCCCTCTCCCCCTCTCCCCCTCTCTCCCTCTCCCCTTCCTGCACTCTCCCCGTCCACCCCTCCCCTTTCACCCCCCCAGCTGCCGCAAGTACCAGGGGTGCAGGTGGCGGCGCTGCCCCGTCCAGTGCGCCAGATCGCCCTCAACCGCCTCCTCTCCGCGCTCTTCCCCCCGCCACCGCCCCCCCCCCCTCCCACCCTCCCCCTCCTGCCAACCCTGCCTCCTCCGCCGAACCTGCCGCTGAGGCTGTCACCCAACCTGCTTCCGAGCCTGCCACGATGGTTGAGAAAGAGGCGCCCGAGGGGGAGTGCAGTGCGGGGAGAGAGGAGAGGGGGACGGGGGAGGAGAGGATGGGGAGGAAGCAGAGGGGGTGGGATTTGGAAGGGGAGAAGAGCAGGAGGGCACTGAGCAGTCCTGTGAGGTCTCTGATTTGAGCTGTCAGGGGGGTGAGAGAGCGACGAGGGGGGGGGAGAGAGGAGAGGAGGCAGAGGGAATGAGGAGAGGGGGAAGGGATAATGGGGACGCAGTGGAGGGGAGTGTACATGGCGCAGCACAGGGAGGGGCAGCTGGTGCAGTGAAGGGCGGGATGACGGGCGGAGCGAAGGGGGTGGCGGATGGGGCGGCGAGAGGGGCAGGGGGCGCAAGGGAGTGCGGGGCAGAGCGAGCGGGGTTCAGAGTGGGACTGGCGGACGCACACCCCCTCCGCATACTGCTTGCGTACGTGCCATGGGTGGCGTGCTGTGGGGTGACAAGCGGTGGCATGGGTAGAGTGGGGTGCCATGGGGTGGTGTGGCATCGGGTTCCAAGGTTGATGTGTGGTACCATTCCCTGGGTTGGCGTGGGTAGGTATGGCATAGCAACCATATAGTCGATGTGCCTGTGGCACGGCCCTGCCTGCAAAGAAGTGCCGTGGCAACAAGAGGTCAATGGCGGCATTTGGCTCTGCAATTCATTCTTTCGGACCCGTGACTCCCTCTCCCTCTCTCCTCTCTCATCTTTCTCTATTCCTCTCTCCTCTCTTTTCTCCCTCCCTCCCTCTCTCTCCCTTTCCCCCACAACCGGTGTGCGTGCATGGCATGGCATGGCATGGCAGGGAGGACAACGTGGTGAATCAGAAGGTGGCGACCAAGATGTTAGCGCGCATGGGATACGAGTGCACCGTCGCCCACAACGGCCACGAGGCCATCCTGCGGTTACAGGCTCACCCCTTCGACCTCGTGCTCATGGACGTGCAGGTCAGCGGTGCAATGCGGTGCAGGTTGGTGCTCATGGATCTGCAGGTGTCATTCATGCTTGTGTGCACTCATGGTTGCATGCATTTATGCGCATATGTATCATTGAGTGTGTGTATGCATGTCTGCATGCATGGTCCGATCTACATGCTGTCGACCTCCTGCCCGCACATCCCCTTGCACATCCCCTTGCACATCCCCCCCGTCCTCCCTGCAGGTACCAGGGCGAGACATCATCGAAGCAACGCCGTGCATTGCCCTGCTCTGCCTTCTCAACACTAGATAGGCACGGCATCTCACCACGCCCTTGTCCTCCCCACTCCTCCCCTCCTGTCCCCTCTCTCCCTCCCCCCCCCCAGATGCCAGAGCTGGACGGCATAGAGGCCACGCGCCGCATTGTCTCGCAGTGGCCTGAGTGGCGCCCGTCGTGCCCGCGCCCACCCATCTTTGCGCTCACAGCCAACGTACTGGAGACGGACCGCATGCGGTGCCTGGCGGCGGGCATGGAGGGCTTCATCGCCAAGCCCATCCATGTCCACGACCTCGTCCGGGCTGTTGAGTTCGGCAGTTCCCGCCGCCGCCAGCAGGAGCGGGAGCAGCAGGAGGAGGGGAAGGAGCAGTGAGCGAGCTGAGGGAGCCTGGCGGCGGGCATGGAGGGCTTCATCGCCAAACCCATCCATGTCCACGACCTTGTCCGCGAAGTTGAGTTCGGCTGTACCCGCCGCCGCCAGCGGGTGCAGCAGGAGGAGGGACAGGAGCAGGGAGAGAGCTGAGGGAGCAGAGAATCCAGCAGCAGCAGCAGCAGGAACGGCAGGCTGGCAGCGGAAGCAGCAGCAACGATACACACATTGAGAGGGATGAGGGGCATTGGTGCAGGTGCCGCCCTTGCACTCACAGCCACCGTGCTGGAGGCGAAGCGAGTGCACTGCGTGGCAGGCAGTGGGCATTGGGGGAGAGGCTCATTGGTAAGCCGATCCATCCACGTGTTGTGCGGGCTGCTGAGTCCAGCAGTGACCACTGCCTGCAGCAGTAGCAGCAGCAGCAGGCTGAGGCAGCAGCAGATGCACCAGCAGTGTTCCTGGATGGGAGCAGGCACTGCCAGCACCCTCACCAGCACTTCCCCAGCAGCAGCAGGTGCAGCAGTGTGTCGTGTGGTCGCGCCCAGAGTGAGCACCACTCTGTAATGCTTGAGAGCTCGTTGCTTGAGCTCACACATTTGACACCACAGCCATGGTGTACCTCTGGCATATACGAATTGGTTTGCTATACTTATGTATTGCTATATTTAGTCCATATGGCCCTATTTATTTCTGTGTGATCTTAATTTGCGTTGGCTTGACTGTATTTTTCATCACGTTTGCCTATTTGAAGGTGGCACAGTTGATAGAGCGAGGATAGGATGAGCAAGAGCAGGGAAATGGATTCACCACTACAACCCAATGGAAGTTACAAGCGACATGATGGGGGATGATTAGCTGCCGTGCCCACACACCTGCCTCTCATGCACGCATGGCATGGCATGGCATGGCAGCCGGTGAACACATGACATGGCATGGCAGGTGGTGCGAACATGGCATGGCATGGCAGTCAGAAGATGATGCTGTCATCATCCTCATCCATGCCCATCCCCATGCCCACATGCATTCCACCCTCCATGCCCATGCCCTCACCCCTGCCCCCACCATCATCCATGCCCACGCCAATGCCCTCGCCACCACCCCCCCTGCTCTCCCTCTCCTGCCCGTGCATCCCGCCTTGAGCCTCTCCAGCCTCCTGCCCTGCCCCCTCGTTCCGCACACCCTCGCCCCCTCCCCCCTGAGTGGAGTGTGCGAGCAGCAGCGCGTGGGGCAGCGCGCCCGGGGAGAAGAAGGAGTGCAGCACGCGCTGCCGGATGGCGTGCCTTGGGGCGTGCACCGCGCTCTGAGGGAGGTGCAGGGAGGGCAGGTGGGGAGTGGGGAAGAGGGAATGAGAAACTGCTTGCAGCACGCGCTGCCGGATGGCGTGCCTTGGGGCGTGCACCGCGCTCTGAGGGAGGTGCAGGGAGGGCAGGTGGGGAGTGGGGAAGAGGGAATGAGAAACTGCTTGCAGCACGCGCTGCCGGATGGCGTGCCTTGGGGCGTGCACCGCGCTCTGAGGGAGGTGCAGGGAGGGCAGGTGGGGAGTGGGGAAGAGGGAATGAGAAACTGCTTGCAGCACGCGCTGCCGGATGGCGTGCCTTGGGGCGTGCACCGCGCTCTGAGGGAGGTGCAGGGAGGGCAGGTGGGGAGTGGGGAAGAGGGAATGAGAAACTGCTTGCAGCACGCGCTGCCGGATGGCGTGCCTTGGGGCGTGCACCGCGCTCTGAGGGAGGTGCAGGGAGGGCAGGTGGGGAGTGGGGAAGAGGGAATGAGAAACTGCTTGCAGCACGCGTTGCCGGATGGCATGCCTTGGGGCGTGCACCGCGCTCTGAGGGAGGTGCAGGGAGGGCAGGTGGGGAGTGGGGAAGAGGGAATGAGAAACTGCTTGCAGCACGCGCTGCCGGATGGCGTGCCTTGGGGCGTGCACCGCGCTCTGAGGGAGGTGCAGGGAGGGCAGGTGGGGAGTGGGGAAGAGGGAATGAGAAACTGCTTGCAGCACGCGCTGCCGGATGGCGTGCCTTGGGGCGTGCACCGCGCTCTGAGGGAGGTGCAGGGAGGGCAGGTGGGGAGTGGGGAAGAGGGAATGAGAAACTGCTTGCAGCACGCGCTGCCGGATGGCGTGCCTTGGGGCGTGCACCGCGCTCTGAGGGAGGTGCAGGGAGGGGCACAGGGGGGGATGGAGGGAAGTGAGGCGAGGCTTGCAGATGACAGGTGCATGGCTTGGGTGTGCATGGCGCATTCAAAGGGGTGCAGCGAGGGAGGGTGGGGAGTGGGGTTAAGGGGAATGAGAAGAGGCTGCAGCAATTGCTTGTAGAATAAGTTGTGTTTTGAGGCGTGGCATGTGGGTGAGAGGAGGGGGAGAGGAGGGAAAAGGGGAGGGGAGAGTGGATGGGAGGAAGAGAGCAAGAAACAGTCAGAAAGGTCCATTAGGGAACGGACATGCATGGTACGGTCCAGCATGGCCCAGCATGGTCATGGCATGGCACGGCATGGCATGGTACAGCACAGGATGTGACAGCTCAGCTCACCCTCTGGGTTGTCTGCCACTCGTCTGCCAGCCTGTCAATCTCGGGTGCCACGTCATCGTTGAGCTGGCGTTCCACTCTCAAACGCTCGTCCAGGAGAGCCTTGGGAATGGGTGGAGGGTGACGTGGCAGGGGGGGTGGAAGACAGTAGATGATTGGGATGGTGGATGTGGTGGCGGCAAAGGGAGCAGCGGGGAGAAGCAGGGGACGATGCAACGGCACACAGTGGGCCTTCAAATTGGATTACACAATGTAATCCAAGGGCAGTGAGGGGGGCTCAAATTGTAATGATAACTGGGGGTAGGTAGGGAGGCGAAGAGGAGGGCAAACAGGGGAGCTCAGAGGCTCAGAGGCTCACAGCGGGCGAGAGGTGCAGCGGCATGGCATGAGTGGCGGTGGAGGAGGGAGTGACGTGCGGCGATGAGAGCAGCTCCAGCATGGCCGCCTGCATACCCGCCCTGTGGTACCCGGGGAGGGCACAGGGAGGCAGAGGCCCGTGGGGAGAGATGGGTGGGAAGAGACGGAGGGGCAGAGGCAGGTGCAGAAAGAGAGATGAGATGAACTGACGGTGCAACGATTGAGATAAAAAACGAAGGGGTACCGCCTCCCACACTTGTAACCCTCACACCCCCCCCAGCTGCTCACACCCTCCCTGCCAGCGCCACTCACATCTGTGCCAGCAGCCGCTCGCTCTGCTCCTCCCCCTGCTGCACGCGCTCCCCCTCCCCCTGCGCCCTCCCCCTCAGCCCCTCCACCAGCCGCCCCACCACCTCCCCCGCACTCTCCCCCTCCCTTCGCCCTGCTGCCTGCGCGCCTCCCCCCCCTGCTGCACCGAGTGGCTCCCCTTGAGCAGCGGGGGGGGAGAGGGCGGAGAGCAGAGCGGGCCAGAGGGGGAGGGAGGAGGATGGGGGCGGGAGGTGGGAGGCGGAGAAGGATGGTGGGGCGGAGAGCGCGGTGGGCGCAGTGGACGCGGTGGGGGCGGTGGCCTGTGCAGCAAGTGCCTTGTACGCCTCCTGTGTGCGCATGGGGTGGAGGGCGGCCGGGAAGGAAGGGGGGGGTCAACGAGCAGAGTACCAGTGGGAGACTGCGGTGGGAGACGAGAGGGGTTGAGAAAGCAATATGGTGTTCCACCCTTCGCACACCGTTTGCCCTATACATGTGATCCCAACCATCCCCCCTGCTCCCCCCTGCTTCACACTCACACGCCCCTCACAAAAACACCCACCTTGCGGGCTTCAGAGTCGGCGATAGCTGCTGACGTGTCGCGATGCAATTGGAGCAGCAGCTGCCGGGTGCGCTCTAGGTGGTGCGCGTCCAATAGGACGGCTCCATGCAGTGCCACGTTGACAGCCAGCTGCCAGTACTGCTGAGTCAGCAGCTGCATGCATGCCACGTGGATGCAGAGGGAATGGACAAGGAAGGGGGAGAAGAAAGTGCAGTGATAGCAGGAAGACACGAAAGGAAATATACAAGTTCACAAGAGGATACGAAGCTATCTAATTCTTGCATGGTTAAAGGAGAAAATCCAGCATCCATTCAGGGAACCAACCCCTGTGTCATTGGCATGGCATTACTGACATGCAGCTTTCCAGTCAGCTCCGTTCCACCTGTTCAGGTGACCCCCTTTCACATCCCTCACACACCCTCGCATCCCCTCAACCCTCCCACACCCTTCCACAATCTTCCCCCTCACCCTCACACCCCTGCACACATCCTCACACCCCTTTGCACCACACGCACACCTGGTGCATCTTGGCGAGGTAGAAGCGCTGCCGCTGCATCTTGAGGTCGTAGTCGCCTGGTGGGTGGGCGCGCGGGTGGGTGCAACGATGGAGGGAGTCACAGGCAAGGGCGCGGGGAGGAGTAAGGGGCGCAGGTTTGGACGAGATGGGGGGCAAAAGAGGGGGAGTGTTGGGCGCAGGATGGGCAGTGGAGACAGGACAAGTGCAGAGGAGGGGGGAAAGATGCGAGTTACGTTGGCAGCAACGAGCAACGAGCAACGAGCAACGAGCAACGAGCAACGAGCAACGAGCAAGCATCATCAGTGCATCTCGGTACCACCGATACCTGGTGATTACCCTTGCACAGTGAGAGGCAGGGTGATGGAGGGAAGCAGAGCAAGGGAAATGGGCAGCAGACAATGGGGCAGAGGACGGTGGCAAGAGGTGCAGATGGGCAGAGGGTGTGCAGGGGTGGTGAGGGGTGGCATGCGGTGCCATGAAGCATTACCAGCATACACCATGGCGTCCTGCAGGCGTGCCTTCTCCTTGCACAGCTTGCTCACCTGCATGCATGCACCATGCCATGCCATGCCATGCCATTCCATGCCATGCCATGCCATGCCATGCCATGCCATGACATGCCACGCCATGCCATGACATGCCATGCCACGCCACGCCACGCCACGCCACGCCACGCCACGCCATGCCATGCCATGCCACGCCATGCCATGCCACGCCATGCCATGCCACGCCATGCCACGCCATGCCATGCCACGCCATGCCACGCCATGCCATGCCATGCCACGCCATGCCATGCCACGCCATGCCACGCCACGCCATGCCATGCCATGCCACGCCACGCCACGCCACGCCATGCCATGCCATGCCATGCCACGCCACGCCATGCCATGCCATGCCATGCCATGCCAAGCCATGCCATGCCAATCCACGGGCATATAACAAATACTGAGGGGCAGCAAGCAGCAGGCATCAGCACCACTTTCCATCTCCCTCCACCCAACCCCTGTCATCCCATCTCCTCTCCCTACCCATTCCCTTCCCCCTCCCACCTCCCCCCGTCCCCCCATCTCACCACGCCTCTAGCACGTGCCACTTCTGCCCGCACCTCCTCCAGTCGCCTCCTGCGCCTCCGCTCCTCCGCCCCCCCTGTCCCCCCCTGCCCGCCACCCCCCTGCCCCACCCCTTTCTGCCTCGCAGCCCCTCCCGGCCCCCTGCTGCTGCTGCTGCTGCTGCTGCCACCGGTGCGGGGGGAAGAAGGGCGGGGAAGAGAGTCAGTGAGGCAAGCAATGGTAGGACGGAGTGGGTTGAGAGGACGGAAGTGTGCGGGTTATAGAAGAGGGGGTGGGGTGAGAGGAGCGAGAGGGACGAGAGGAGAGAACGTGCATGCACATGCAACCATACACACAAGCTCACACACTTTCACCACCCAAACCCCCTTCCTGAATTTCCCTCACCTCCCAGCACCCACCTCCCAGCATCCGCCTCCCCCCGTCCACCCATCCCCCAGCGCTCTCCCCATGTCGTGTGCCACTCTCACCTCTGCTCTTCTCCCCCGCTGACTCACCTCCCCAGCGCCCTCCCCCTGACAGTCCAGCGCGCCTCATCCACCATTGCCGCCACGTAGCGCTGCTCCGCCTGCCCCGCCCTGGTGGGCGCACACACGGGCGCGGAGGCGCGTGCACGGTTGATGGCACGCGGATTGGAGGGATAGGGAGCGCGGGGGGTAAGAGCGTGCATGGGGAATGAAATGTGCAACGCATTGCCATGTGGGCGGGTAGAGGACAAGGGGACGGGGAGCAATGGTGTGCAAGGAAGATGAGAAGAGGGTTGGAGAAGAAGGGAGGGAGGGGACGGGCAAGAAATGGATGCGAGACGAGGCAGTAGTGGTGCAGGCACCGCGTCACTTCCCGCCGAATCACATCATGCCAAATCACACCAAATCATGCCAGATCACACCAAATCATGCCAAATCACACCAATTCATGCCAAATCACATCACATCACGCCAAATCACACCAAATCATGCCAAATCACATCACATCATGCCAAATCACATCACATCATGCCAAATCACATCACATCATGCCAAATCACATCACATCATGCCAAATCACATCACATCATGCCAAATCGCATCACATCACGCCAAATCGCATCACATCACGCCAAATCGCATCACATCACGCCAAATCGCATCACATCACGCCAAATCGCATCACATCACGCCAAATCGCATCACATCACGCCAAATCGCATCACATCACGCCAAATCGCATCACATCACGCCAAATCGCATCACATCACGCCAAATCGCATCACATCACGTCTCATGGCAGCACGGCACGCACAGGTCGTGCACGTGTTCGAGCTCCATGATGCTGCGCCGGTACATGGCGTCTGTGGGAGAGAGAGGGGCGCGGGAGGGGGGAAGGGGAGGCAGGAAAATGGAGGGGGAGGGGTTGAGTGGTGGGAAGTGGTGGGGGCGAGAGCGACCTAGTGCAGGAAGGAGGAGAGGAGAGCGGGCGGGCAGTGAGGAAAACCCTTGACAAATGAGCGAGGTGAGAGTGTGAGACGGTAGAGGCAGGCAGCGGGGGGGCACTGTGCGAGGGCATGAAGGCACGTCAAGCGGCCAGCAGCAGCAGCAGGCGGGGCTGAGTTGAGCAGCAGCAGCGGGGGGTCTCTCTGGGGGGCCGATTGATACTACTACGCTTACCTACAAGTTCTCGCCTAGTACTCAGTGAAATTAGTCAGGTCAGCTTTCTACCCGTCTTCTTAGTTTGAGAGCAGCAGGCGGGGCTGAGTTGAGCAGCAGCAGCAGCAGCGGGGGGTCTCTCTGGGGAAGGCAGGGTGAGCAGCAGGGAGGGACTCACCTGGCGTGTCACTGGAGCCTCCGCCATCCCCACCCGTGACGCCAGCGTCCAGGGCGTTCAGGTCACACGGTGAGTATTGCCCCTCCCCCTCCAACGCCACCGCCCTGGATGGCCCCTGCATAGCCACTCACACGCCATGACGGATAGAGGGAAAGGACGACGCACAAGAGGCGGATGGTTTCGATTCATATGGACTGGGCGCACACAGTGAAACAGGGAATTGCAGCGAGCTCATGCTCACAGCATGCCATGCTGTCTCCCCTCATACATCCACCCCCCTAGACTCACCTCGTCTCATCTCCAGGCTCTCATACCACCCATCCCCCCGCCCACCCCTCGCATCCGCCCCCACGCACCTCATCGAACTGTCGTCGCTTCCACGCCTCGTGCTGCAGCGCCAGCTCCTCCTGCGCCTCCAGCAGCGGCTCCACCCCCGCTACCATTGCCAGTGACCCCGGGCCTGTTGCGCGTGACAAGTGGTGCAAACAGAGGGCACATGGCGCACGGCACAGGGTGATGGAAAGAGAGTGTGGTGGGGTTGCACCTCCAGCAGCGGCTCCACCCCCGCCACCATGGCCAGTGACCCCGGGCCTGTTGCGAGTGATCGATGCATGCACGGCGAGGGTGGCAACAGCGTTGCAATCACTTTGCACAAGGAACAGGCACTGGGCCCACCACGTCGTGCATCAACGGCGGGGGCTCCTGGATGGTTATGGGAGTGGGGTTGTTCTAGAGCATGTGATTTACTCGCACGGGAGAGGAGGGGCGACTCACGCGCGGGGGAGAGGAAGGCGGCGATGGCGGCGGCATGGCTGGCCATGGCGTCGAGCTGCGCATTCACCTGCCGGCGGAGGATTACGGGGAAATCATGGAACAATGAAGTGGGGGATGGGGAAGAGGCAAGACGGCAGCTGCGATGAGCCGCGCGAGCACGAGGTCACGCGGGATTCATTCGCGCAACGATGCTGCTCGACTGACGTGGACCGTCAGCCGTCGCGTTTTGAGCGAATCTAACAAGCGCTGAGGTCCCAAGAGGCGTGCAATCGCACCTGCGCGTTGAGCGCGTGGAATCGAGCGCGCAGCAGCTGCTGGTGCGCGTCCTCGGCAGTCCTAAGCGCCGCTGCGCTCGTCTCCTTCCTGCGCGACGCGGCCGACACGGCTTCCCGCAGCATCTGCTCCTGCTGCCGCAGCTGCTTCGACCGCCGTTCGATCGCCGGCAGCAACGCCTCGGGATCGTCCATTTTGGAGACAAAGAGCCGTGCAACGGAAATCGTCAGAAAGACGTCAGATTCTCGATAGACAGAAATGAAGGGGGAACTGGAGTTTGAGGACGTGTCTCAAATGCGCGGGTGACGTGGGTCCGACACGGATCTGGCGGACCAGCTCGAGAACCAAGCCTGAACCAGCGGCGGACTGGACCGAGATTAACCCCGATAAAACTTTCAACTGGCATACAGTGCAACGGTGCCATTGAGCTGATCGCCAGACCAGCCCGCGCCTGGTCCGTAACTGTAGCAGCTCACACAGCTGTTTGCGAAAATTCTCGCCACTCGTGATTGTCGCTCCTACAGGGTGGGGAATTTTTACTGGGCAAAAAAAAGAGGTAACTCAATTTCAACATGTCCGATTTTCGTAAATACTGGAATTTTTTGCAAGTATTGTACAGACCGTGGCGCGATGTCTCACGTAGACCAGCTCGTGCCTGGTCCACGGCTGGTCCGCGAAGTAGGTCCGTCGGACCAGAATTGCGGACCAGGCATGCGTTTTTTTGCAGCGGACCAGCTCGGGGCGGACCAGTCACATGAGACACTTTCTGAGTTTCTTCCTCCCCGCCGTTCGCACACTATCGGTTTGCAACGTAACAGACCGAGCACAAATGTGACACCCTAGAGAAAGACCATAGGCCTGTTCGCCAGCTATTCGTAAAGCTTTGGTTTCCAGCCGAAGCTTTCGCGAATTCGAAGTAGCTTCCCTGTACGCTCCCGCATTCTAATCAACCGCCGAACCAACAACGATACCAGCTCCCATACCAAGCCAGCCTGCTTCCGCGGCTGTGAAGCTTGCTCTGGAACGTCCGCAGCTCCCTCAGTTTATATCCCGCCCGCGGCACGCGGGGGACATTTTCCCCACCACAGAGAATTTCATCTTCCGAGCCACCCGCGCTTTCCAGACTAGGGCTGCCCTCCCCACCCGTACCGAAACCGAAGCACCAAAGTCTGGCATGCTCCGAACCAGAGTTGCTTCCACTACCGCAGTGCTTCCCCGCTCGTCTCCGAATACGCCGCTGAATCTCCCCTCCCCGCCCGCGTCAGAACCAGCTAGAAAGCTCCATTCCATTTCCATGATTTGTTGGCCTTAGAGAAATCCATTTTCCTGAATCTCCACTTCAACATCTACCCACATCTTTCCGTCCATTTCTCTTGACCCATCAGAAACTACATTTTCACACTAGTCTGCCTGCCTACGCTCTTCGTCTTTTCCGCATTGCGCGCATCCGCGGTGTCGCTTACCACAACAGCGAATGGCGACGTCGATGGACGTCCTCGTCGCGCGCCTCGAAGCTGCCGTCGCGCGCCTCGAGGCCTCACTCCCGTCCCAATCCTCCACCGCCACGTCAGCTCCTGCCGGGTCCGCATCCGCAGCGGCCAGCGATCACCCGTCGGTGCAGGCGTTCGACGCGATCCTGACGGCGAATCTGCAAAAGGTGACGGCGGCCGCTGAGAAGGTCGGCAGCGCGGAAGTGACGGCGGCGACCAAGGCGCTGGCGGAAGCGTTCGAGGCGGAAAAGAAGATCGTCGCCGCCATTGCGGCCTGCAAGGTGGGCTTCGCTTTGCTTGCCCCGCCGTTCGCTTCCCGGCGCTGTTCCGCGTGGCGCGTTGTCTACATTCGTGCATGATCGCCTTGGATCTGGTCGGGATTCGAGATCGAGCCCAGATAGAATCTCACTTTTGCTAGAACGAGGGGGGCTTCCATCCCGTGCACTAATCGGAACTTAATGCCCCACGCGATCCGCTCTCGTCACTGCTTTCCGACCAAGAAAAACCTCCCGAAGAAAAACATTAACGAAAGAAAGGCAAGGAAAACACGGAATATCACTGAACCTTCCGCATCCCGGTCAGCATCCTGAACCTTCTGTTTCTCCCCCACTCACCCAACCAAATCCCCGCTCCCCTCGCCACCCCCGCTCCCTTCGCCACCCCCGCTCCCTTTCCCCCCACCCCCACCAACCTCTTGCTGCCTCGCGCGCACCATCCAGAAGCCCGACACGTCAGCGCTGCCGAAGCTGCTGGAGCCGCTAGGAGCGGCGATGGCGGCGGCGGGGAAGCTGACGGAGGGGAAGCGCACGGACGCGTACAACCACGTGAAGGCCGTCGCCGAGAGCGTCACCGCGCTCACGTGGGTCGCGTACACCGGCAAAGACTGCGGTATGATGCAGGGGGACGAGAGGGCAAGGAATGCGGTACGGGGGGAGAAAAAGGGGGAAGTGGGAGGGGAAGGGGGGAGGATGCAGTATGGGGGGAGGGCAAGGACTGCGGTACAGGCAGAGAGAGGAGGGGGGATGTATGGAGAGGTCGGCGCACAGTCTGCATGCGCTCGCCACTTGTGACGTCGACTTGGCAATGAGAGTCACAAAACATGAGATCTCATGGGCTCTCATGGGCTCTCATGGGCTCTCACGGGTTTCTGTGTGCTCCCTTAGCGTGTGGCTTCGCAAGCCCACTCTTGCGCGCACACTGCCCGCTCTCGTGCTGATCCTTGTTGCCGGCCCAACCAAGTTGTTCCCGCCCACCGACTTGCCTCCCTCACGACCGATCCTCACCGACCTTCTCTTCCCTGCTTCCATCCCTCTGCCGTCTCCCATCCCCCGCCCCCCTCCCGCCGCCCCGCCATCCCCCTCCCGCCGCCCCGCCGTTCCCCCTGCGCCAGGCATGAGTCTCCCCGGGCCACACATTGACGAGACCTGGCCTGCTGCTGAGTTCTACACCAATAAGGTGATGCCACGTCCTTCTTATACACCCCCCTACTTTCTTCCCCCAGTCTCCATTTCTTTTGTCCTCCCTTCGTTTCTCCCCCTTCCGTTTCCCACCCCTCCTCGTCTACCCTCCCGCCATCTGCATCCCACACTTCCCCACCCCGTTTCCCTCCACCCACCCTTCCCCCTCTCACTCCGCTTTTTCACTAAGCCGCTCCGCCTCCGCTTCTCTCGACCCTCTTTATCACCGAGTCCTTCCCCTCCCTTTCCTACTTCCCCTCCTCCTCCCCCTCCCCCTCCCCCTCCCCCTCCCCCTCCCCCCAATTGCTCCCGTTCCCCTCACCTCCCCCAGATCCTCTCCACCTATCGCAACGCGGAGGGGGGAGCAGCGCACGTGGAGTGGGCGCGCGCACTAAAGGAGCTGTACACGGTGGGATTACGGGAGTACGTGAAGAAGTTCCACCTCACAGGCCCCTCCTGGTCCGCCTCAGGCCTCGACCTCCCCGCCTACCTCTCCTCCGCCCCTTCCGCCACCCCTGCTCCCCCCCGCGGAGGTCCCCCGCCGCCTCCGCGCGGACCCCCTCCCCCACCTCCGCCCGCGGCTGTGTCAGGGGGCGGAGGGGGCGGAGGGGGCGGGGGCGCGGACATGTCGAAGGTGTTTTCCGAACTGAACAAGGGCGAGGCTGTCACTGCAGGTGAGAGGCCGTCACTGCAGGTGCGGTGAACAAGGGCGAGGCCGTCAGTGCAGGTGCGGGCGGGTGGTGTGGGATGGCAGGCAGGTGAGGGATATCTGTGAGTGCCGGGAGAGGGATGGCGAATGGCCGGACAGGTGGATGGGAGGATGTGAGCAGGCTTGTGGCAGGTGACAGCCGAGGAGAAGACAAGTAACCACTCGCACCGCTCAAGGCAGATTCGTTTCCCCCCCTCTTACCCTAGCTACATAAGGTACTTCCTTCCTCTCCCCATCACCAATGCAGGGCTGCGCAAGGTGACAGCAGACATGAAGACGAAGAACCACCCATTACCCATGTCCACCTCTACTCGCCCCTCCTCCTCTCCTCATCACCAATGCAGGGCTGCGCAAGGTGACAGCAGACATGAAGACGAAGAACCACCCATTACCCATGTCCACCTCTACTCGCCCCTCCTCCTCTCCTCATCACCAATGCAGGGCTGCGCAAGGTGACAGCAGACATGAAGACGAAGAACCACCCATTACCCATGTCCACCTCTACTCGCCCCTCCTCCTCTCCTCATCACCAATGCAGGGCTGCGCAAGGTGACAGCAGACATGAAGACGAAGAACCACCCATTACCCATGTCCACCTCTACTCGCCCCTCCTCCTCTCCTCATCACCTATGCAGGGCTGCGCAAGGTGACAGCAGACATGAAGACGAAGAACCACCCATTACCCATGTCCACCTCTACTCGCCCCTCCTCCTCTCCTCATCACCAATGCAGGGCTGCGCAAGGTGACAGCAGACATGAAGACGAAGAACCACCCATTACCCATGTCCACCTCTACTCGCCCCTCCTCCTCTCCTCATCACCAATGCAGGGCTGCGCAAGGTGACAGCAGACATGAAGACGAAGAACCGTGCCGACCGCTCAGGAGCCGTGCCGGCCAGCATTGGCGGCAGCAAGGCCACGTCAGCAGGCGCCTCTGCTGCCGCTAAGCCAGCTGTGGTGAAGCCACCCAAGTTCGAACTGCAGCAGGGCCGCAAGTGAGTGATAAGGATGCACGTGAGTAATGCCTTCTGAGGCGCCTCTGCTGCTGCCAAGCCAGCTGTGGTGAAGCCACCCAAGTTCGAACTGCAGCAGGGCCGCAAGTGAGTGATAAGGATGCACGTGAGTAATGCCTCAGAAGTGGGCACGTGCAAGTGAGCAGTGGGGGTGCAAATGAGCAGTGGGGGTGCAAGTGAGCAGTGGGGGTGCAAGTGAGCAGTGGGGGTGCAAGTGAGCAGTGGGGGTGCAAGTGAGCAGTGGGGGTGCAAGTGAGCAGTGGGGGTGCAAGTGAGCAGTGGGGGTGCAAGTGAGCAGTGGGGGTGCAAGTGAGCAGTGGGGGTGCAAGTGAGCAGTGGGGGTGCAAGTGAGCAGTGGGGGTGCAAGTGAGCAGTGGGGGTGCAGTGTGCTACTTTCGGCCTTCCTTTCACCATTTCACCCAATGCTTGTTGCTTGCTGGGCATGTGTGTGTGTCGTTGCGCATGACTGTGCTCATGCGCATGGCAGGTGGGTGGTGGAGAACCAGGTGGACAACAAGGACGTGG